AAAAAAAAGGTGGGAGATATTTTATCCCTTTCATCACATCAACCCCACGCCCCCCTCCTTTTGCAATTTACTTTCTCTCTCTCTCTCTCTCTCTCTCTCTCTTTCTTTTTTTTTTCTTTTCCTTTTTCTCTGTTCTCTTTCCTTATGTTTTCTTTTTCCTTTTCCCTGTGACCAAACTCTCCGACTCTATATTACCGCACACAAGCAGGTTTGTTCAAGCTGTCCGGAAAATCACGTACATGAGCCACTTAGAAAATAGTTCCAACCACCAACAAATCGAGCCGCCTGCGTCGTGCACCACTCGGAACTAACCTGCTATAGCAACCAAAAAAACCGATCTATGTCGAGTCACCCGGATCTGACCCGCCCAGTCCACTTGAAGCTGACCCGCTCTAGCCCACTGGGAAACCCGACTGGCTGCACACCACCGGAGCTAAGCTGTCTGTGTCGCTTGAGCTAGTACCGTCCAAGCCACCGAAACCAATCTGCTCGAGGCTAGCCAGAAACTAGTGCCACCTGAGCCTGTGCAACTTGAGCTGATGGATTTGCACCGAGCCACCTGAAGAACTAATTTGCGAGGAGCCGATTTGCTGATACGGCTAGCCACGCGAAGGATTACACAATTGAGTACGGTGAGAAATAATATGTATATCCATTCTTTAAAAAAATGCATAAATTGTTTATGTGATTATCATTGTTTGTGTTTTATAACTATGTTATGAATGTCATGAATGTATATCTATAATTGTGTGAAATTATGAATGAGACATTTATAACTGAAATGAAAATGGGTGATACATGCATTGATCGCGGATGATGCAGTCCTGTAGAAATTTGGGTAAGTGGGGATGGTGGTAAGCGGGAACAATGGTAAATCGGGCCAGTCGGTGCCTGTGATTCCCGCCCGTGATTCTTGCCTGTGATTCCTAACTACAGTACTTGGGTGTTTTTCATCTATTTGGTGTTCATGAGTGATGCTTTTGTGTTTTCATGACATATATGTGATCTTACGATGGTGTCCCTGTATGCGATTTATATGTTGCTTGGACGTTTAATGATTCAACTATTGATGTTGATTCACACATTGAACTAGGCTATTCCATGCCAACAGTAAAGTGTTTTCAGCATGCTTTGATTTTGCTTCTAAGCCATGTTTTAAAACATAAGTAAGAAAACATGGTTTTAAAAATATCACTTCAAAAATAGAGATTTTTGCTTTTAAAACCTAAAAAGATCACCCTCTTACTTCTTAAGTTAAGCACAACCTTTAAGTACTCATTTTTTTGAGCAATTTACTCCACTTATATTTTTTAAAAAAATATATTATATACAAAATATTCTATTATATATTCTCTTTATATATATATATATACTATATATATATATATAAACTTGTATTATTATATATAATTTTAATCTATTTTAAATTTAGTTCTGAATATTTTAACTACTTTCACTTTAATCCTTTACTTTTTAATTTTATCAATTCAATTCTATATAAGTTTCTTAATTTATTTTGTTTTTATTTTAGTCCATAATTTTCTATTTTTTCACATAAATATTCGATGTGTAAAATAATATAATTTCAGAAATATGTCTAAAAAATATATAATAAAAAAATAATATATGAATTAATTCCAAAGTACTATGTTCAAAAAACGTGGTTCAATTTTTAAGATATGTGCTTTTAAATATGGAAGAGGACAACTCGTAAATTCCCAAACACACACTTCTTATATTAATTATTCAATCTATATAGATTATTATATAACATCTTAAGTTCCACGTATTCTAAAGTTTAGTAAGGCAAAAAATTAAGCGCCCAAGACACAGAGAATTTTTTTTATGTAAAATGGTAAGACTTATGAAACCTAATCCAGCCCAATTTTTCCAGTAAAATCCAATAAATAAAATCGAAGTTCAAATAAGAAATAAATCAATTCATCGATTTAACATGAACCGATAAAACAAGCTAAATGAATCAAACTGAACCAGGTTAAAACTAGCACCTAATAAGCGAATTGGATCAGACACAAAACCAATATATATAAACCAAGACTCCAGACGTAGACCAAGTTTAGCCTAAAATATCTGAACCGGTAAACCTAGAATCTGACAGCCGCTCTTGCTGTTTTTTGTTTAGTCCCTAATCTTTGCAGTCTATTTCCTAAGACTATACTGTTTTGCTGCCATATTATTTTTGTTTCTTCAGTTCTATACTGCTTTCTAGTTAGTTGGTTGTTTCTACTGAAATTTGTTAAAGTTTATGTTCTGCCAATGTTCACTGCCCATTGTTACGACTTTTCCTCCTTAGCTGCTATTGTTTCTTCTGCTCTTGCATCTGTCTGCTTTCTTTTGAAACTGACTTTCAAACCACTTTTCTTTTTTTCCTAAAATAATAAAAAACTTAAATAAGTTTTAATTTTGTTTGAAAGGGAAGTACCAAATGCAGTCGGAAATCCCCTAAATGAAGCTTGGCGGTGGAGGCCTGGGCCTAGCGGTGGAAGGCGTGGAGGCCTTGGGGGCCGCAGCAAGGGCGGTCGTGTTGGCTGCCCTCACCGTCATTGTTAAGTTTAATCTTTAATTGTTAGACAAATTAAGTTGAAGAATTTTATTAGGTGAATTAAATAGTTTACGGATTTAATTCTCAGAATTAATAGTTCCTAAAATTTTCTTACGGGTGGTTCATTATTAAAGGGTCTGGAGTTATTTTTTTTTCCCTAGATAAATTCAGTTTTTATATTAACATATTGTAAAATTTTTATAAGATTATTAAATAATTAATAATCAATTAAAATGAAATATATAAAAAACAAAGTGAAAAACATTGAGTGAAATAATGTTTCACGTGATAAAAGAAAATATAATGTTGCACTCCACTATGTTGTTAAAAAAAAAAAAAAAGTTTGATTTTCTTAGACTTTGAGGGGAAAAAAAGGGAAAATGACAACAAGAAAGAAAGAAAAATTAGATATTTTACTTTTTAAGTTACAAGTTTAAAATGACAAGAAGTTGAATTAAAAATTTAACAAAATAATAAAATATTTATACAACTTTATTAAGAGATAAAAGAGTTTCAGCTATATATATTATTCTTTTCTTCTCTCCAACGATTGATATAAGAGGGCAAAAAGGTAATCATTATTCAAGATTTTTATAAAGTCTAGATTCTCAATTTATATATTTTTTTCACAAAAATAGTTAGTAAAATTTTTTAAAAGTCAATTTTGTTGGCTTAATTGATCTATATAGGCCCAGTACAACATTTTTAATTATTCTTTTCTTCTCTCCAACGATTGATATAAGAGGGGCAAAAAGGTAATCATCATTCAAGATTTTTATAAATTCTAGATTCTCAATTTATATATTTTTTCACAAAAATAGTTAGTAAAATATTTTAAAAGTCAATTTTGGTTGGCTTGATTGATCTATATAGGCCCAGTACAACATTTTTTAATTAAGAAACGTTTAATAAAGAGCTAGAAAAGTCAACTTTAATATTTTGTTAGGCTTATCTTGTACATGAATGTTGAATTTTAACTTTAGAGGAGTTAAAAAATTTCAATAATATCCCCTTATGGGTCCCAATAATATTTTTAAATCTAAATTACTAAAACCCTTCTTGAAATGCATTAGAGAATACAAAAATAAAAAAAGAGAATCAAAATGGTCCCTTGAACAGTTTTTAAGCGATAGAAGGTGAGGGTGGCTGGAGGTTTCCCTCGATTTTAATTTTACAATTTTAAATTTAAATTTTAGACTAGAAAAAATTTAATTAATAGTATTCTTTAATTTCTATTATCACTATATTCTCTCTCAAAAGGTAAAAGTAAAAAAGAAATAATCAGTTTGACTCCATAAAAATGTTACCCGATTTGTTCATAAAAATTGCTCCGAGAATTTTTGGATTCACGAAGAATCCAAAATTTAACTGGAATCAAAGGTTAGGCTAATCGTAGTTGCTAATCTAAATTAAAAGTTAGGTCAGGCCTGCCAACCTTGCCCAAACAAATGGCGTTCGGCCCAATCCAGGAACACAGAATACACACACACACACACACACACACACACACACACACATACACACACTAAAATAGGATGCTTCTTAGGATTGGAATTTCGATCTGGTCGCTTGATTTAAAGTATAAGACCTGTACATGGAAAGAGATAGTTTGGTTACGAAAATGAAATTAAAAACAAAGCGAAGGTCCATTTTTATGAATTTGAATTTGGTCATCCACTTGAAAATAATATTTTAAATTTACTTCTCTTTAAATCAATTTTTAATATGATTTTAACTTTTATTCATGTTAAAAAAAAATGATCGAGCCAATTGATATAGATTCTTCACTAATTCGCAGGTATATACACAACATGTGGGATTCAAATCGTCTTTGACAATAATTTGAACTGAGTATAATTAATTTTATTTTTATTGTAATAAATTCTTAATAAAATTTTAAAATCCCTTAATATGGATGTAAATTGAACAAATTGTCTGTCCTTGCTATCTCTCTCTCTCTCTCTCTCTCTCTCTCTCTCTCTCTCTCTCTCTCTCTCTCTCTCTCTCTCACTCACACACACACACAAAATTTATGACATAGCCCAGTTTGGTATTTCACAGCCAATATTAATAATAGCAATAGGTTCTTTCAACAACTGGTTTATATGGATTTGTATTCTATGTTTTGATTTTGCTTTTTATTTTTATGTTGTTGACAAAAAAAAAATGAAACTCAAATTTTTTTCATGTCATTTTCATTTTGGAATCAAAATTCTACAAATATTTTTTTTATCATTTCTATTAAAAAAAAAAGTGCATGGGCCTATTTCCAAGATATTATCTTAAAAATATCCTTTCTAACTTCGGAAACAGAATTTACTGTGCATCCTAGATTAGGCACGTTCAGTCAACCTTTCCGGTTTTAGAGGCTTCAAAAGGAAGGAATAATAGCAGATGAAGACAAGAAAGATAAACCATATTCTAGTCAACTCCCACGATGTCATCGCTTCCAGTCCCGGCTTCTATTTCAACCCTCGTCCACCACATCTCAATAACCGTCATCAATCGAATCCGCAAATTCATGTCTCTGATGCACAAATCCATCACCATCATCATGGTGTTCCTCATTGTCCTCTTATTCCTCTTCATTGGCATCGGCGCCGTCGCCATCTTCCACCATTTTGACGCTGGCGGAGCCTCCCATAGCGGGCGCCCCCTGCTCCTCGTTGATTCCACCGAGTCCGCCTACTCGATGGAGGAAATACAGAGGTTCCTCCCGAGGCTCAAGTACGCTAATGGTGGGTCGCTGAAGAATGAATGCGCGGTGTGCTTGGACTGCTTGGCTGACGGCGAGTACTGCCGGAGCCTACCGGCATGCGGCCACGTGTTTCACGCGAGCTGCGTTGACAAATGGCTGACAGAAGCCGCAAGTTGCCCCATTTGTCGGACCCGCATTCGGTTGGATTCCGGCGCCAACAGTTCAAAGATGGGCGAGTGCAAGATTTTATCGGTAGGTCATTTCCAGTTGTAGCAAGCGTAAAAGAGATTTGAAATTTATTTTCTTTTTCTATCTCAAAAGGGGGTCTTAATCAGAACGCAAGATCATTCATTCAATGAAGCTTTTGTGTGTGTTCTGGAAAAGTAGAAAAATGAAATCGAGTTTCCTATTAAGTATTTTTTCTTCCTTAACTAATATATTTTATAGGAAATTCTACATGAAAGGTCAATATAACTACTTATCTTTTTATTGGATAGAAATGTCCTTTAAACAATTAAAGTGGGTGAAACAAAGTTAAACCCCACCCACTCATATATTATTGTACAACACACAAATGTATTTTAATAAATAACACAAGTACATTTATTCTCATGATTTTGAAACTTTATAGAAGGGATAATAAAATCTCTTTCCAATCACGTGGTGTTACGACTCAATTTCAAGGATCGCAATAAACACTAAAGTTAGACCAGCCAACTTGAATAAATCCAACAAAATCAAGATCAATATGACTCATGTATTCGCTAATCCAAACATAACAAATCACTTATCCAAATTAAATTGTCTCAAAACTAAAGAGGGATGACGAAATCAAGGATCTTACTTGTGAGTAATGGAGCATGTCTAGAATTCAATGCAAAACCCAAAGCAAATGAAATCACTCAAAAATCTAATTACTTGAATCCAAAAGCAATTCCTCTAGCAACCTAACTGAGCAAACCTAATTTGGTTAAAAAATCTAAAATATATTGGTGAGATGTAATAATATATATCTATGATAGAAATAGGATAAACTCAAGCACAAGAATTTTTAACAATATACCTATACAATTGGAAATATAAGTAAAATATCATTTAAATCAAAGTATATAAATAGAAAACATTTTTCAAAACATGTTTCATCAAAACTAATTCAATTCATGTTAACTATTATATATCTTATACATAACATGTTATATCTCACTACAATATGCATCAAAACTGTAATGGGGGTCTCAATCTAGAACCGTAATCAAAACCAGGCTAACATTCACCCCTATTAATTGAGTTCAAAACTAGTAATCAAACCCATCAAGGATCTACGAACTGCAAGTGTCAACAAAATAAGTCAGGCTAGCCAAACACATTAAGGTGCACCAAGACTAATATTTATTATCATTAATTGCAATGTTCTATCAAGTTTTCTCCTATAGAAATATATATTATACATTTCAAAGTTTGGCTTCGATTTTGTTAAAAATATGTAAGCAAGTTTCATCAAAACATACATACATAATACAATTTGAAAGTACTTGCCCCAAGATTCATCCAAGCTCTAATCATTAGAGGTTTTCTAAAACATTTTCCAAAAACATGTTTTCAAATGTTCAAGTTTTAGAAATCACTTTACAATGCATATAATCACATTGTAACTTTGAATCAAATATCTAGAGTTTAAAAACTTAAAAACAAGCATAAATATTATTATCACTCACAAAATAAGTTGAAATCATATAGTTCGATCTTTAATGTTATAAAATTAACAGTGGTGATGAGAAACCTCTGAGAAATCTAAAGCCACATAAATAATGTTAATATCCAATTCAAAACACTAAGAGGATTGAAATTATCCAAGAAAACTCCTAACTAAACTCATTTGGTTCTAAAAACTCAAATCCAAACCAAGTTTGGATTCCAAGGTCCATATTTAAATCCCAATTCTAGATTCACTAATCCCAATCCATTACCCAAAATTATGCACATAGCCTATATCCATGTCCATGTAACCCAAATCCATTAACCTTGTTCCAAACCTTTAATCCAAGTCTACATCTAAAACCCAAACCCCAATCCAGATCCAAAACCTAGATTCAAAATCTAGATTTGAATCCAATACCCCAAATATAGATCCAAATGCTTAATTTAAATCCAAAACCTAGAACTAGATCTAGAGGTCTAGTTCCACAAACCCAAACCTAAATTCCCTAATCTAATATGAAAACTAAGTCCAAATCCAAAACCCTAAACCCAGATCCGAATCCAAAAGAACCTCGAAACCCATGTTAAGATCCAGATCTATATTTGGATATAAAACCAATTATAGAATCCCAAGTTCTATATTGAAATGTAAATCCATAAGACCCATGTTTATATCCAAATCTAGATTTGAATTAAAAAAAAAAAAAAAAAGCCAAATGCCAAAACCAATAACCCCATAAACCTTGTTCAATCCCAAATCCAAATTTGAATTCTAATTCTACACGAAACCTAAATGCAAAACCCACATTTGTTAGTCCATAGTCCAAATCTGTATCTAAATCCAAACCCATTACCAGATTTAGATCTGTTAGATCTAAATCCAAAACCCACACCTAGACAAAAATCCAAATAATTATAAGCAAGTAATGGGAATAGTGAACTAATATAAAACTAAACATAACCATGTTTGAAAATAATGTTACTAAACATAATCATGTTCACCATACTACATTACTACACATAACTGTGTTCCAAGATATATTATCAAACACGTCATTTCCAAAAAGTTACATTACTACTCATAACTATGTTCCAAAACAAATTACTAAACAAATGTCATACCATCAAAACACTAATATGTTTTAAAATACATTATTTAGCAAGTACATTAATAAAAACAATTTGCTACTTGAGGCATGCTCTTTATGGCATGAGTTGCTCCATGACACCATTGGAGAAGAAATGAAGAATTCATATGCATGTTATTCACATTGATTTGTGCCTACAATCACTATAACCAAACTTTTTCTCAGTATACTTAAAAACAACTCCCTAATGGATGGACTCAAGAACAATTGAGTTGTACACATCCACAAAGCATCCCCCTCATTAATACCTTGCATTTTCTCAAGACTCTTAAGGCAAGCTTGGATGACGAATTATCTACTATTGGCATCATTACCTATCCTCGCAATAATTGTATCTACCATGCACTGTAGGCACATTACTATCTTTTCACCTATATCACTTCTCTTGTTCTTCTTCTGAATACGTCCAAAAAAATTATTTCACCCTTCCAAAAACCCTCAGCCCTCCCACTGCTTATTCCCACGATAATAGGCATACTAGAATCAGGTTGAGGTATATCTTCACCCACTTCATTGTTATCCAAATTAATTGGTCCAACACTTTCTATGTCATCCTACATATGATGAGGCATCACACTAGAGCTTGGTGTCCAAGCACTACTACCACTAGCAATGACATTCAAAAATAGAAACTTTTACTCATTAATCAATATAGGACCCCTCTCCCTGAACTTTGCTGTCTTAGGATGTGCCTTCTTCAGAAACAAAACATTATTACTATATTTAAATAGCAACTTGAAGCATAAGATAATAGTAAATAGATCATGTACTTGTAACTTCCTATTCTACCACTCCAACGTTACATCCATGGTGCCATGCTTATGATTTCAACCTAACCTCGTTTCTCCATATGTGAATATTTTCCATTGACTCCACTCTTTCTTCTATTTATCCCATGATTCTTTAGTTGAATTCGTGAGTACTTAAGGTTTATGGCTATGAAGAAGTTTTGCACTAAATTGTCCTAATCAATCTTATTAAAGTGGCCACTAAGTTTATTTCTTTTATAGACTTCCACAACACATAATTTAATAAACACCTCTGTCGTTATATCATCTCAAATTACCTTGACTAATCATTCTACAAATTTTAACCTTTGTTGTTTGTTATTATCAATTGTATGCGAAGGATTGGAAGGTCATAGGGCTGGTTTTATAGTACCCAGACCCAAACCTGAACCCGTGTGGGTCTGTAAGTGAATCCTTATACTCAGTTCCATCAACACCCATTTACTCAGGCCCGGACCCATGAATCTAAACTTATAATCACTAATAAATAATTTTTATAATTAAAACTTATAAATATCCAAAATGAATAATATAATCTCATAAAAAATATAATTAAAAATAAGAAAATCTAATATAATGTATTAATTTTACAAATGTTAAATATTAAAAGCTACAATATTACGAAAAAAAAAAAAAAATTATGCGACTCTAAGACAAGGTGGGTATTGTGCTATCAGACCCAAACCTAGACAAGCCCAAATGCCCATCTAATTATCTAGACCAAAACTTAGATCCATTTAGTAGTATTTAAACCCAAACTCATCCAAGTAATTTTCTCAAGTACCCATTGTATTTGGGTCCAATTGCCATCCCTAGCGAAGGACCAAATGACATGGAATATTACAGTGTATTCATTGTTAAACCCCTATTATCACCTAAATATGAATTCATAATTACAATACGACTAAAACATGAAACCATTTACCATTTAACAATAAGAGAAAAAAAAAAAACACAACATGCAATTTTCAACATATACTCAGACAACTACAATGAGGCAAACAACATAAGAGGCTATACTAGACCAAACAATGAGGCAATATATAAATAAGAAACACATCCATATAATTGATTTAATATTGAGGCAACCACAATAAAAGGCAAATACCGATAGAAGACAACTACAACAGAAGGCAAATACCAGAAACAGAAGGAAACTACAACATAAGCCAAATACGCACGATTTTTTGCCCACTTCTAACCTCAGAATACAGGAAAATACCGAAAATATGATTCAAATTTTGTAGAAAATGGGGTTGGAGTAAAGTTGAGCTAAGAAGCAAATTATGATAGTTGGAGCAGAGCTGAGATAAAAAAAAAAATTTAAATAGCAAGAGTAGAGTTGAGCAACAGCAACTTGGAATAGCCAGCGTAGATAGTAAATTAGTAGGAGAAATGAGACAAACGCATGCATGAGAGTAGACAAGAGAGTTGTGTGCGAGAGTTAGGGTTTTCATTTGCGAGGGAACTTTAGGAATTCAAAATTAATGAAAATAAAATGGTCAGATCACATGTGAAACAATTTCAATTTATTTAGCAAATTGTCATTTAAAGTCACAAGCAACCTAGTTCTCAAATTAGCTTTTACTTTAAATTTTTTAATTTAAAAAAAAGCTAAATTTTAAGTTAAAAGTAGGGAACTAAACACGTAAAAATCACTTCTATGCTTTCGAAAATGCAACCGCATTTCTGGGAAGCTGGTGCAAACACCCCCAAGGAGCAGGGGATCTATTCTAGGCTTGCATTCTAGTTTTTTCAATTTCTTCTTGTTTTCATTTTAGTCCCTATAAGCTTCCTTCTTTTTACCACAGCTCCTAAGCCTCAATTTTCTTTCAATTAAACCCTTGAATAGGGGAATTACACGAGAGAATTTTTTTTGGATTCAACTCTTTTTCCATTTCTCAACTTGCTACAGTTAAATTAATCTCTTAATTTTAATTTGTACAAATACGATTCTTTAATTTTAATATGGGGTGGTCCTGCGTATAAAATTTCATTCAGTTAATATCAGATTCATGTTAAGTTGAAATTACAAATTTAATTTTTATATTACATATATTATATTAAATATTTTAATAAACATGTTTCAATGAAAATAAAATAAATTTTTTATGTAAATTTGAAATATTTATTGTATTAAAAAAATTTCATTCAATAAAAAGTTACTTTTTAAAAAATTTCTAATTTTTAATTTTTTTGATTAAGTACTTCATTCGATATAAAAAATTAAAGACAAAAAACTAAAAAACTTTTTGACAATTTTATTTACTATTTTCTTTAATTTTTGAATTTTATTTTATAATTTTTTCTTTTTATTTCAAAATTTAAATGGACAGTATTATAAGAAGAAAAAATGATCAAAAATACTTTTTTATTTATATATACATTTGAATTTTTTAAAGGTAATTAAATAAAAAGAAAAATTAACTTTTTTAAGAAACTGGTAAAATCATATTCTTAAAAGTTTATATTTTCAGTTTTTAATTTTTACGTTGAATCAAATAATCTAAAAATTTAAAAATTAAAAATTAAAAAAATTAATTTTTAAGTACATCAGATAGTCTTATAATTTTTTTTGAATGTAATGAATTTTATTAATTTTGTATAATAAAATTTTATTTTTATGAAATATGTTAGTATAATGTAATTAATAAATATATGTTATATAAAAATTAAATTTAAGATTTGAAGTTAACATTATCCTGATATAAATAGATGGAGGTTAATATGATTGATCACATTTTCTATTAAATTAAAATTGAAAGATTTTATTTATCTAAATTAAAGTTAAGAGGCTAAATTGAACAGATTAAACAAATTAACAGATGGATTGAATATTTAATCCATTTTGAATCTGTAATTTATTATAAAAACAAGAATGATAAATTATTATATGAAAATTTATTTTTAAGGCTTTTTCACTTTTCTAATTTGTTTTTTTTTTTGGGGGCACAAGGTTGGGCTACGTGACTAGGTTGCGCTTCTACGGTTGAGCCCAACAAACCGAATGCTGGCTTCCCGCAGCTTCCCGCCGGTTTGCATTGGGAAGATTAATGACGAGAACGACAATGCGTAATTTTAATTATTTAAAAAGTTAAAATTAGAAATATTTTTATTCAAAGTTAATAATAAAAAATTATCAGTTAAAAATATTTTTATTTTAAAATATTTTTTTATTATAATTATTATAAATAAAAATTTATTTAATTATAAGTATAAATTTATATAATTATTTTAGAATTTTTAATTATATAAATTTTAACTTTAAATAAAAATATTTTATATTTTAATTAATCGAATCTAACTCGATATCTTTTCTTTTTACATTTGGATTGACTTGAGCCACCTTTTTATTTTTTATTTTTATTATTTAGAATTTGAGGTGGTTACAAAAGCTTCTGCAAAGGCCATGCATAAAATTCCTCCCTGTGTCTCAACCTATTATACTAGTATTTGATTGGACTATAGCAAATATCCAGATTTAAAAATCTTATTGACAAACAGCAGTAAATTCTGAAGGCATCATTCGTTTTTAAAATATTTTATAAAGATATAAGAAAATCAATACTTAGATATTTGAAGATTTCTTATATAAGAAATAAATTTTAAATATGATTTTCACTAATTAATGCAAAAATAGAGTAAATAATCTAAGTACCAGATGCAAAGAATTCATGTTCTTTAGTGGTGAAACTCAATTTCTAATATCAAAATTTTAATTTGTATGAATGGAATAGGAATTTTTTTTTTCATGTTTTTTCCATTTTCTTTTTCTTTTTCTTTTTTTTTTAGGAAGTCTATGACTCTTAGCCCTATATTCAAATAAACTGGACAACAAATCAGAAATGATTTTGACGATTTACTTAGGAAAATGTTTTTGGGTGACGTTTTTTATTTCCTGAAAATAATCTTTTAAACAAAGAGAAATATCAAAAGGATAACTCTCAGATATCGTCAGGATCACGAAACTAGAAAGCACTTAACTTGATTAGGTTTGGTGGCAAAATCACATCACAGGTATATGCGATCATCACTGCCGCATCTAAGCATCTATGTCAAAAAAATAAATATAAAATATTCTAAACTTGGAAAAAATTTCAAACTAAATCGCGAATCGGCAAATCGACGGTCCAGAATTCAGACCTCCCTCCCCTTTCCCCTCTCCTTACGCTTCTCTGAACAGAACAACACGTCCAATCTCCATCTCCTTCTTCCCCCTTCCCTCAAAAAGGTTGTATAGCTCAATTTTGGTTGTTCACGTCCCAGCTTAGCAATTTGGCATTTTTTCCCCTTGGAGGTTCTCTCTCCAACGGTTTCTAAGTTCATCCTCTCTCCCTATTTATATGTATAAATAGGCAAATTTATGCATCTGTTCGTCCTATTTTAATTCCTCGTATTTGGGATTTCAACAGCCGGTATTCTTCAAGGGTTGTCAGGAGCTTGCAATTCAGGGTAATGCCAGCCAACAACGAAGACGAGGGCCACTATATTCAACAACACCACGACGATCATGGCTTTGCTTCCAATCCCAGATCGTGTATTAGTCCTTCAACCCTGCCCACCCAATCGGCGAAGCGAAACCCTAACTTTATTTCCCTTCTTCTCAAGGCCGCCATCATGGTCTTCATCATCTCCCTGTTCTTCTTTTGCCTCGGCATAGCCGCCATCGCCTTCCTTCACTTTCTCGCTGCTGGCCGCCGCCGCTCCTCCCTCCTCTCCATTGATTCCCCATCAACGGCAGTATCCTACTCGCCGGAGGAGATCCAGAAGTCCCTGCCGGGGGCCAATTACACAGGCGGTGGATCGTCGGAGAAGGAGTGCGCGGTGTGCCTGGAGAACTTCGCCGCTGGCGACTGGTGCCGGAGCCTGCCGGCGTGCCGCCACATGTTCCACGCCAGCTGTGTGGACAAATGGCTGGTGAAAGCGGCCAATTGCCCCGTTTGCCGGACGCGAGTGAGGCTGGATCATGGGTCTATCCGTTCGGATATGGGCGACGACGAACGCGATCTTCTGTGGGCAATTAGGGTTTGAGCATACAATGGCGCAACAAGAAGTTCTATACACTGGTACGAGACTTGTTTTGTTGTTTGCTCCGAGTTAGGTTGAAATGGTAGATTTTGATAGTTTAGAGATTATTTCAGATGTAACTATAGTGTTTCTTATGAGTATCTTGGTTATCATAAATATGGTGTTTCTTATGAGTATTTTAGTTCTGATAGCTGAATGTATAAAATAGTTATTTGGAATCTCTGCTCCTTGGTATTGAATGGGAATGCACAAAAAGTTTAATTGATTCTGTAGACAAATCTGCAATTTGACTGTTTATTCCAAAGATTCTTGGAACGTGAGTAATTGTGGGATGCATTAGGTCCTTACGATACCAAAATTTTGTCTATCATTATCTCATGATAGATTTGTGATGCAATCCTTAATGATGGAGCCTTTCATCTCCAAAATCCAAACGGAGTATATTGATTCTTTTGTCTTTGTTTATTTTGTGTAAAGGAACGAATTGTCCTTTACGAGATATTAGGAACCTTAGTTCACTGTGCACAAAATAATGGAAATCATTTTTCCCTTTTTTCCCTTCTTCTGCCCCCCAACACACCCCCTCCCCCCTCCGCCGCCCCGCGGGGGCTGGGGAGGAACTGCAGGCAGCCTAGTTTATGCTTCAGAACGTGAGGAAATGGAAAAGTTACATTTTGGTCCGGAAAAGGGTTTTTTATTTCATTAATTTTACTGGAATTGAACTAGGTATTTACCATGCTGATCACGTCAATGATAAATCATCCTTTTAGTTAACTATATGGGATATGGTATAGCCCTCTAATATGTTTTAGAATATAGCTTGAGGTTGTAGTGTTGGAAGGTATAGTTGCAAGTTCTCAATAATTCATTGCGATTCTCTTTAGTACTAAGCTCTTTTATGGATAGGTTTAATGTTTCATCTCTTTCTTCTTGACCTGTAATTTTTCTTTTGACTAAAAAGTAATTGAGACTAATTGAATGAAGGCACTTTTGATGATGTTGAAAAGAAGGGGCAGAAAAAACCCAAATTGAGAAAATTAACATGGGTTATGCATAATGAGTTCAGTCAAATATGGACATAATATTTAGCAGGTAGTACTAACTTGTCTAAACTTCTTATTGGAAGACATGCGGGGGATTAAGTTTCAAGTTCAATCAACTGCTGGGGCTAAACTCATGTGAGTCTTAATCTATGAAAATTAATATAGCAGGGTATGGTCCAATCTCAACTAATGGTTAGTTGAAAATGAAACCATGTGTCCAAATAAGGTAACCTCCAAGATCAACTAATGATTACTGAAAGTGAAACCATGTGTCCAGATAAAATCAACTTATGCATATCATAACATATCACGTCATTTGTGCATCATAGTTGATGCTACAATCTTAATCTGACTTGTATGTTTGACCTACATTGCATTGTTCTGTAACTTCTCTAAGGATCTTATACCTATCATTCGGATATTCTTATATTTGGATGGATTGTGAATTACTAAATAGATTGCAAGAACTTTGCAACCATTTGTTCTCACGTGGCTGAAATTACTGATTTTGAAAGGATGAAGTTTTCTTTTCAGCATCTTCTATTACCCTCAGAGCCAGGATTATCTGTTTATTCTATTACAGTAAGGTTAATGCGTCCTCCAGTCCAGGTTCCGTATATTTTTAAGAAGTTGCATGAGATAGGTGTCTGGAAAATTGTTGTTTAATTCAGTCTATCTACATGTGAACACATTTGAACATCATGTATGTCTGTCATTACGGGTTTGGGAAGGTGAGTAGGAAAGAATTTTCTTGTTTTCTTTTTCCAAAAATGTTTGTATTCCTTGTGAACTGGTAGTACTGCTGCTATGTTTCTGCGTGGATCAAGGGTGGGATATCTTGGATTTTGGCACAATTTCATGAACTCTCTTAGTGCTTTATTTAGTGATTGGTATTGAGGCCGAATCAAGGTTTTGGGTCGAAAGAGTTCTCTTGCAATCTCCTATTTTTATATGGTGAATTTATTTCTGTCATTGTTTGTGGAAATAGGTTTCACATCAAAATCAGACCATATTGATGTTTTAACTTTGTCATTGTTTCCTCTATTTAAATATTCTTGCATTATTTTCGTGTTTGTGGAGGAATGTCATTAGGTAAGTTTTTGTCTTTCCCCATGCATTTTTGCAGTTTGTTTTGACTACCCTGTTTCAAAGATAACATTAGAAACTACCAGGCTTTCTGCATTTTCATTACATAGGGCGGATAAAGACGTTGTTGATTACTAGGAATTACTGATGGCCTGTTTGGATTACCTTCAAGATACAAGGGCACGCTGTGATTCTTTAGTTCCTTGGTAATACTGATCCACAAGCCTTCTGTTGCAGTCTGACAGTCTGAAAAATTTCAATTTAATTTGAGTGCATAAAAAATTTTCTTTTCTTTTTCTTTTTTCTTTTCAAAACCATGAATCTGAGTATGCAAGCAGCTTATTCATTCAAACGAAGATGTTTGATTTTCTTTGAAGATAGAATGCGTAAAATACACGGGAAAAATGGAGATATACATCAGTCACGTGGCCGAAAGCACCTGGAAGATTTGAAAACTCGTATGATAATAATATATTTTTAAAAAATTAGGTTTAAAAAAGTATACTTAGAAAAAATTGTGTAAATTTTATTATTTTGTTAGATAAATGGTGACAGTAGGATATAATTTTTAAATATTTAATTTATGGGGAAAATTACCAATAGGGTAGTTTGAAAAAAAAAAAATGTAGTCAGAGGACCAAAATGAAGGAAAATTTTTAAAAAAGAGTGAAAAGTAACAAAATTATTAGGTTAGGATAATTTTATTTTTCAAAATACTCCCCTCCCTGTCCAAACCCCCCTCCCGCTAAGACTCTACCTTGTCACCCACACAACCCCCCTCCCATCACCCTTCGCCCCATTGCCACCCTCTCCCGCAAACATCCCCGTGAGCCTCTTCCCCTGTCTAATCGCCCCCCTTCCTATCAAGCCCCCTCTTGTCGGCCCCCTGCACATTGTTCCCATCCCCTACAAGCCTTCTTCCCTGCCCCATCGCCCCTTTCCTGCAACCCCCCCCCCCCCCCAAAAAAAAAAAAAAAGAAAAAGAAAAAAAGAAGAAAAACTCCTCCTTGTAAGCCTCTCCCCTTCAAGCCTCTCCTCGTACCTCGTCACCCTCCTTCTTAGCAACCCCATTGCCCCCTTTCCTTGCAAACTCACCCTCTCTTGCAAGCCCCTCCCCCGCCTCGTTGCCCCCTCCCTAGCAAGCCCCATCGTCCCCTCCCCTACAAGCCCCCCGCCTCCTGTCATTGTGACCAAAAGCTAAATGACCTGTGATTGAAAGCCCCTGGTAGCCTTGTCCAATGACCGAAGAGTCTCTCCCTTTCTCTCTCTCTCCCTTTGGGTCTCTCTTCTCTTCGTCATCTCTTCTCCTTATTTGTATTTTTACAATAATTCATATGTGTTTTAACAATTACCCATCTATAATTTTTCAAATATGCATAGATGGTTTTACAAGTTCGCATATATGGTTTTACAAATTTGTATGTGTATTTTTATAATCACTCATATATATTCTTACAATCACCAATCTATGGTTTTACAATTACCTATATATATTTTTACAATCACTCATTTGTAATATTTTTAAATGAGTATCTGTATTTTTACAATCACTTATTTGTATGCTTATAATTGCTCATATGTTTTTTCATAATCACTCATTTTTAATTTTAAATGTAGTTGTGTGTTTTTACAATCACGTATTTATATTTTTATAATCACTCATTTGTATTTTTACTATTGCCCATATGTAATTTTCTAATTGCAATTGAATGGTGCCTCTAATGAACTAGTTTATTAAAAAAGAAATAAAAAGAAAGAGAAAAATTGCACATATACTCTTTAATTAAACTAGGGGTGTTCAAAAAACCGAATCAAATCGATTAGATCGCATAAATTGAACCAAACCGTATAAAATCGAACTAAATCGTATAGTATAATTTGGTTTGAATTTGATGTTTAGACAAACTATATGAACTGAATTAAACCGTATACTTTATATTTATACAAAATTAAAAATCTTATCTTTATATATATAGTATATTTTTATTGTTTGACGTATTTTTTTTCTTTTTATTATTTTTTATATTTATATTTATCTAATTGATTATTTTTTTTAAAATATAATTTCTATTAGTAATAGTAAAATTCTGTAAAATGGTATAAATATATTTATTATAAAATGTATAACTATTATAGTTAATTAATAAATAATGAATTTATTAATTTAAATATGTTGGGAAAAAATAAATGACTAATTTTTAGGAAAACTCTGTTAAAATTTTTATAAAAATAGTGCATTTATTTTATTTTATTTTGTAAATCACAAACTGTGATTTGAAATCGAATCAAATTGTAAACCGTAGTTCGGTTTAGTTTATAAAAATTATAAACCGTAAAGTGTGGTTTGGTTTGAATTTGAGTATCAAAACGAACCAAATTGAGCCATGAACACCCCTAAATTAAACCACATATCATTTGTAAAAATAATCCTCTGATGAACTAGCTTTTACAACAAGTGCTCTAAACTATTGGAATTGACCTAATTTCTCCTTAACCCAATCTTCTATGGATAAGAAGGATTAGCTAGGTTTGGATTAGTTGTGTTTCATGTTGTCCTTGTTTTACTCATTGTTAAGTAAAATACGAAAGAGTTAATATTAGCAAATATCAATTATTAGATTAAAAAAACTCATAGATGAAAGAATTTTTCTAGAATTTAGGAAAATAACCCGGAGAGATATGTGAGATTACTTTTTTTTGGGGGGTACAGTAGAAAAAAAAAACTTACAAATAAAAATTACATCTACTACATCACCCAGTAAAAGATGACCAAGATCCAAGGGGTTCATCTAAAATAGAAAATGCAATATTACACCTAACCCTCCGCTTCACTAGGAAGTTTGCAAAAGCATTCACTTTTCATAGAATGTGCAA